ATATATATATATATATTAAAAGCAAAATGTTTGTCTCCTCTGAAACTGAAACAAAAACCAATACTTTACAAAGAAGCAGCATGTAAGTAGGTCACACTGGGTAGCAAGCAAGTAAGGTTTACAATTCACTTCTTGAAAGTTACCACCTGTTAACTTCCTCTGTGGACTGCATAAATTTGTGGAAAGGGTTAATAAGGGGAAAGGAAGATCTTTGTGTAGGGATAGGAGACAAAAAAACTTCACTTTTGACTCAGACTTGGAGTTGAAAAGACTGTTATTTGTTTGCTTCTGTTCTAACAACAACTATTCTATTCTAAATTAACAACTATTTTTTAAGTTTTTTTCTTGATTTTCGAATAATCCCCTTTGGTTATATACAGAATACAAATTGTTTTAGTTTTTATATTACAGTGGTGCCTCATATAACGTACGCCTCGAATAACAGATGCTGCAAATAACGGACTTTGTGTTTGGCCGTTACGTGACTCGAGCAACGGACTGGCTGCGAACAATGGACTTTCTGTGAACAAGTGCGAATGATGTTTCCACTCTTTTGCCGTTGTCAATGACAGTCTGCTATTTTTATAATATATTAGTACAGTATTATTAGAATATGTTATTAGTATATCTGAAATACAGAGCTCCTGTTGGGATTCGGCTTGCTCCCTTGTTTATTACATACATCACCTCAGTGCAGGGTATTTACATTTATTCAAGTGTTGTGCAAATCATGGCATCTAAAAAAACAGAAAGGTGATTTCAATTGAAACAAAGCAAGAAATCATCAGAAGAAGGGAAAGTTGACAAAAACTTCATTGTCAAATGGGGAGAGGTTCAGGAGTTTATCAACACTCATTATCCAAACAGAGCTGAGACCAGCAGGATCAATGATCTTTACAATGACATCCTTGCCTGTCATTTTCGACAGGTGTTGAAGAAGAGCGAGAAATAGACCACCTTGGACATATTTTTCAAGAATCCATCTGCAAAACAACAAAGGATGGAACAAGAGGAGTTGACCCTGCAAGCTCCAGTAGCCTCTCCTTAATCTGACTCAGATTAAAAAACAATAAAAAGAGACCTGCTGCAATGTGTAAAAAGTCTGTATCTGTATGAATATGTGAAGAAAGTGTTCCTCCACCACCTCCTCACAATATCTGACTACCTGACATAATTGGTGACTGCTCCATTTTCATTTTTTTGATGGTACAGTATGGTTATTTTATGCTGTGGAATGAATTATATGTTTTAACATGTATTTCTATGGAAAAAGGCGTTTCGTATAACAGACTTTTTACTTAACAGACGTGCACCTGGAACGGATTAAGTACGTTATACGAGGCACCACTGTACTTTGAATAATTTTTATATGTATACATATTAAAAGCAAAATGTTCTGTCACTGTCACACACAAATAACATAAATTTAAAAATCAATTTGATTTATATTTTGAAGATTTCAAAACAGCTTTTAAACTGTTTTTAAAAACATATTAATTTTCAATTGATTTGTTTTTAATTTGTTTTGATTTTATTTTTAATTTGGTTTTGGTGTAAAGGCTAGAGTTTTAATTATATTATTATTTTTAGGTTTAAATTATTTTGTATTAATTTAGTTTTAATTTTCATAATTATTTATTTAATTTTGCTTGCAATTTTTGAATCCTTAATTACAATTTTTTTAATTAATTGCAACTCTTTTTTATTTTGCAACATAGCTATTGAAATTGTTTTGGCATTGTTTCACACAAAAGATAATCAAATTTTTTTAGTAATTTCATTAATTTTTGTTTTATAAATTTGCCTGTTTTTAAAAATATTTTTAAATTTTAGTCTTAAGTGAGTTAACATTAATTGAACTATTGGGCTATTTAGTTGTATATAAAGATGATATATTGTGTACATTGGTTTTTTTATATAAATTATAAATGTATAATAATACATATATTATTACACATTTATATTATATTTATTATGTATTATATTTATATTATTACACAAATGCTTGTATTTATACATGTAAATTAATAATTTTTTTAGTTTATTACTTTTCTAAAATGATTATAAATTTTATTATTTAGGCACAACAGTTGAGATATTTACCAGCAAGAAATCAGTTCAATGTTGATCCAACTCCATTTGATCCTCATCCTGGACTCTATAGAATGTTTCAAGAGAAGTAATAAATTTTTTAAAATTCAAATTTTAAAATATTAAAATTAATAAAACTAGTAGATATCCAGGACAATAATACTTTAAAATTTTCTTGTAAATTTTAAATGTGAAAGAATATTATTGCTAGTAGAATGTAATAAATAATAACTACATTCTGATATAATTATCTAATTCAGTGGTGACCAAACTTTTTGATTGATGAGCCATATTGTGCTTAAGTGATAGGCACATGGGCCACAAATATTCTGTATATTCCATATATACAAAAAGGCCTATATCTACCATTTATAAGTGATGTGTCAAATATGTTTGCAGGCTAGATTAATGCTAGGGATCAGATTTGGCCAGGAGCTATAGTTTAGGCACTGCTAAATTTAAATTATAATGTAACTTAGTAATGTTGGCTATTGTTTACTATGAATATATTAACAAATAGTCAATATGATAATTTATAATATTAAACAAAGGCCAACAAATATAAATAAATAAATAAATATTTTTATTTGCATTAAGGCTAGCCTTGTTACAGGGTGTTACTATTTCAGTGATTTAATAGTTTACATTTATTATTCATCGTTAATCCATTATACATTTTCTTAAAGATAATAAGTAAAATTACAATAATCATATAGTAATAAATATTATTATTTGTTTACATTTAAATAATTTACTTTGATTTACAATATAATTAGTTAACATTTTTTATTTCTATTAATTTTTCATAATTTTTTAAACTCATTAGTAATTTGATTAAAGAAATTATTTATTCTACACATTTGATTTAACGTAAGATTGTTTAGTTTTATTCTATAAGCTTGATTTTGTTTCATGCATATTATTTCTTTAATTTCATAGTTTTGACAATCATAATTCGTAAATTTTTTCTTTCAATGGTTCTTGGACTACTTGGGCGAATTTTGTCTTCAAATATTAAAAATGAAAAGAACCATTGGACAAAAAAATTTATGAATTATGACTGTGAAGTATCGTCACTGGGGGGAACTTTTTTTAATCTACATTTTCCAGCGCTCACTTCTCTGTGGATAAAAGGTTGAAACACCCCAAAAGAGTGCAGATGGTAACAAGAAAGACATTCGTATACCACCAGTTCCAATTTTAGAAAATATTTGTATTTTTAATCGGAAATTTTTGTATTTTTAAAAGGACTTTTTAGCTTTTTGGCAATTAGTAGCCTAGAAAGGAAGGTCGGTCACTTAAAATGTATTGTCTGGAACGCAAAGTTAATAAATGATGATTCCTACTTGGGCAAATTTTGTCTTCAAATATTAAAAATAAAATAAAAAACGTTTTGACAGTATTTTTCTAATCTTTCACAGTCTTTTAGTAGATGACTCAAAGTATAATCTCTAGAGTTGCACCAATAACACTTGTCCTTTGTAAAATCTATATAAGTATTATCTCTTAATGGTAGCATTTGTTGATCAAAAATCATTTTGAACTTAGAATTACATTGATAGTAATTCCAATTTACTCTTATATGAAAGTGTATTTTTGATAAACTTACAATGAGGTAAACTTTATTTCATTATGGGATAAATTCAGAAGACAACTAAGTTTAGAGAGAGAATTTATTGCATAAAATAGAACATGGGTTCTTATAAATTGATTAATAATTTTTGTTGTGACACTTATACAAAAATATATTGAAAACATATTTTAAATAAAGTAAAGAGATTGGGTAAATTCCTAACTGTTCATTTATAGGAAAACATTATCTTTAAATAAATTATCAGAAATTTACATATTGTATTTTATGGCATATAAGATACATCCCCGTTTTAACATAATAATAAATTTAGGAAAAAGTGTTTAATATATTTAAGCCATCCTGTGATGCTGACACAAGGTTTAAAAAAACGTTTTTCTACTGTATTCTAGTTAAAAAAACGTCAAATTTAAAATACAGTAAAAACTCAGTTTAACAGACTAATTCAGGTGAGGGAGTGGTTGTTAAAGCCAAAAGTCCATCATATAATAAAGCAGTAGCATGTTGTCCATGGAAGCTGTGGAAGCACTGCCTCCCTTGTATTTTCTAAAATATAAATACATATTAATAAAAATATTTAAAAAAACCAATGGAGTCAGATAAATTGTCTTTACCCAATTGTACTATTAACTAGTACATGGAAAAATAATTCTCCTTTCTTCTCTGACTTCTGGAGGCTTAAAAAATTTCAAGTCTGTAGACTGGTATAAAAAACAAAAGGACCAACAGGTTAACTTTAAGAGAAAAAAATTCATTTAACACTACACTTCACTCCGAATGCATTTCGATTTTTTTGGCCTCTTCAGCAGGGTTTCTTACAATCAGTAATACAGGTTATCCATTAGAAGACACATCATTAACACAAGTACCATCGCATTTACAACTATTATGTATTATTAACTCTTCCCATCATTCTGTGGGTATCATGCTGTTATTTAAATTCATAACATTATTTTGCATAACTATCGCAAAATAAGTACATATTGTTTGATTTATGTGATTATTTTCATATTTTAACACTTCGAATTAATTCAAATGAATATTTTATTATAATTGCATTAATGTATCTTATTACAAATTTCTATACATGTGAAAAACAATGATAAAATTGCTATTGTATATTCAAATATAAATTCATATACAGTAGACCCCCTATAACATGGTAGTTACGCTCCGTGTTTTATGAAATTCATGTTGTACGAGTCCTTAAATACATGAGCCAATCACAGCCCAGCACATATGCAGTTTGCGGACTATGGCTGTTTGAAAGGTTTTCTTCCATAAAATTAATCGATTCTTGACTAATTTGACTCAACATTTCCAAAACATGTATAATTTTTTGGGAATAATCCATATAAACTATGCTGTAAACAAAATATTGTAGGATTACTTACCGAGTGTGCACCGTTCAACAACGCCATTGCTTAAGCTTGTTTTCATTGTGGAGCGGCACATCAAACAGCGGGCGCGTGTTTTCTGATAAATTATTTTTCTGCAAAAAATTTGCTGAACTTTGGAGACATTATTAATATAAATATAATTTTTATGGCCGTTAAATAATAAATGGTTTTTGGTAAGTCCGCTGCTCATTTAAACTCAACGGTTTGTGCAATATTCGCTATTGGTCTAGATTCGACCAATCCTGTCGCAACACAAGTTGGCAATGACGTTTTACTGTATTTTACGAGTTTCTTTTAGCGTGTTTATATGAATATTGTCACAATTTTTTTGCCGTTATATACAAATTTGTATTATATGAACCCGTTTTATAGGGGTCTACTGTATGCATATTTCCAATGGAAATGCTGTATTGTCAAATACAGGACAGCTTCTATGACGAAAATATTTAAATTGTGTAAAGCAACCAGATTATATGCATTCGTGCATGTGCTTTACAGAGCACCAACCTTACCCGGTTTAGCTCATGGATGCTACACACCAAAATATCGTATAACACTTCCAATGATTCCATTCAGGGCGGGCACAGCTTCCCTATCACGAAATGTCACTGTATGCCACTGTTATAAAGTAATTTTTTGAATGTGCATGTTAAAAAGTTTATCTATTTTTACTTATGCAGATACATTTGTATAATTAAAATTAAGCATGTTTGAAAAATTTAATTTACAGAAAACTTTTCTATATGTATTATTGCTTAAGTATTAAGAATTTAATTAATAAACAAGTATACGATTTAAATTGGGATAAACAAACATTTTTTTGGAAAATGCACTTTAATCGTATTTAACTAAACAAATAAATAATGTTTTAAAAGGAAAACAAAATATAAATTTGACAAAAACAAAAAATAATTCCTATTTATTCATTTTTGGATGATGACATAGAGACACTCTCATTGTGGCATGAAGTTAAAGAGTAATGACTCTAATTTGAAAACAATAACTTGTTAATTTAATTATGTATAAAATAAGTATTTACAAATTAACATCCTGTTAATTTTTATGACATAAGAACCAGAAATTTTGTTCATTAAGTTCAAAGTCCATTAAATCAAGGTTTTACTATACACACTTTTGTGACCGTAGGGTCGGCACCTCTTTGGCGCCCTGTCAGGAGACCTGAATCTGACACCACNACCGAAAATGCATCATGGACGACCTCGTGGATGTGGCCGGCAAAGTCTGAACAATCACGCTCAAAACCAGCGATATCGAAGAAGATTGGAGAATGAGAATGAGACCCGCTTGAATGTCAAAGTGATTCCTCTTAGTAGTGAGTCTCCGAGACATAGTCTTGTCCCAAATATGGCTTTGCCATTTTACTTGTTCTTATTATTATTTTTCATGTACTGTGCAGTACCTCATTCTCTATACTATATATATATTCATTCAATTTATTCAAATATTAATTTTAAAAATAAGTATAGCATTTTTGGGAAAAAAGCAGAATGAAAATATTTTACTAGTTATGAAATGTTTTTCATAATATAAATGTAAAATTACAAAAATTTTCGATGAATAAAGTATTGACCCAATATTTTACATTATGTTATTCTACAGAATAACAAACAAAATACAGATATTGCAAATAAGTTTTTTTATTACTGTTGGGGTATATGTTTACATAAAATTTATTTGAAAAATGTTGAAATGGGAATAAAATTTGACAAATGTTTTTTTCTAAAACTCGTTCATAAAATTCTGAAGGAAAGAAGTGTAAATTTAATTTTCCATTTTCACTTTCACAGCTGTTATATATAATAGAGGAAAAGTATGGCAGTCAATAAAAAAAAAATCAACTACCAAGTTTTTTACATTTTTTGACTCTGTGACCTTGAAACATTGAGAAATGCAAAAACAGTTTGTTGATTTTTTTCCTTGTATGTAAGGATGTGTAAGGATGTTTCTTCATCCTCTTTGAAACTTAATAACTCCTATGTCTTTTGTCAAAATTTTCTGAAATTTTGCAGAAAGATTTGTGTATTAGGGAGATTGATGATATTAAATTTTGATAGTTAAAGGTGAATGGCGTGGGGA